TGTTGGGGGAAATGAATATTCACCTGCAAAATAATGAAATTAGACCTCTTTCTTACACTCCTCATAAAAATTAACTTGCAAAGGATTAAAGACTTAAACGTAAGACCTTCAACTATAAAACTCCTAAAAGAAAACATGGTGAAAAGCTCACTGACATTGTTTTTGGTAATGATTTTTTTTTGTATATGACACTTCAAAAGCACAATAACAAAAACAAAAATCAACAAGTGGGACTATGTCAAACTAAAATGTTTTTACAGCAAAGGAAACCATCAATAAAATTAAAAAGCAACCTATGGAATGGGAGACAATATTACAAGCCATTATCTGATAAAGGGTTAGTATCCAAAATATATGAGGAACCCATAGGTCTACAACAGCAGGAGCAGCAGCACGACAAAACCAAATAATCTAAAGAAACAGGTGAAGGAGCAGGAGGGGTCTGACTTTTTTCAAAAAGTACTTACAAACTGCCAAGTACATGAAAAGGTGCTTGGCATCACTCATCATCAGGGAAATACAAATCAAAACCACAATGAGATGTCACTCCACACCTGTTAGAACCGCTATTTTCAAAAGGACAAGAGATGACAAGTGCTGGTAAGAATGTGGAGGAAAGGGAACCCCGTGCACTGCCGGTAGGAATGTAAACTGACGCAGCCACTAAGAAAAACAACATGGTGGCTCTTCAAAAAATAAAAATAGACCTGTCATATGACCCAGGAATCCCACTCCTCGGTAATGAAGTCACTATCCTGAAGAGACATCTGTACCCCCATGTTCATTGCAGTATTATTCACAATAGCCAACATATGGAAACAACCTAAGTGTCCATCGCTGGATGAGTGCCTAAAGAAAATGTGGTGTTCATATACACAATGCAATACTATTCAGCTGTAGAAAAGGAGGAAATACTGTTATTTGTGACAACACGGATGATGCTTGAGGGCATCATGCTGGTGAAATAAGTCAGATGGAGAAAGGCAAACACTGGATCATCTCACTTGTATGCAGAATCTAAAATATCCTAATTCATAAATACAGAGAATAGATCGGTGGTAATCAGAGACTAAGTTGTAGAGGAATGGGAAGATGTTGGTCAAAGGGTACAAACTGCCAGTAATAAAATCAGTAAGTTCTGGGGATATCATGGTGACTATAATGAAGAATACTATATTGTCTACTTGAAAGTTGTAGGAGAGTAGGTCTTAAATGTTCTCACCACACACACGAAATTAACTAGAGGGGTGATAGAGGTGTTAAATAATCCCATTGTGGTAATCATTTCACAATATGCATGTATCAAATAATGGCTTTGTACACCTTAACACTGTAAAAAAAAATTAAAAATAAAAAAGGAGCCTGAAAGAACACATAAAGATATCTGTAAGAAATGACACATGGTGGGGTGTCTCAGGGGCTCAGTCAGTTAAGCATCCAACTCTTGATCTCAGCTCAGGTCTTGATCTTAGAGTTGTGAGTTCAGGCCCCATGTTGGGGTCCACATTGGGGCCCACTTAAAGAAAAACTACACAACTTTTACATATAAAAATTATGGGAAATGTAAGGATGAAGGGAAATGTAAGGATGAAATTGAATGAAGGTCACTCTATCAATCTAGCAGACTATGTGGTAGAAACACAAACTTTATAAATGAATTTGATTCAAAAGGTGTAGCTCCAATCCAGACACCTACAATGTGCCAGGCAAATACTATTAATAGCAGAGGGTTAAAAGATGGGAAATATATGATTTGTAACCATATGGTTCTTTGTGGGAAAGACCCCCAATAAAATACTTTATACAAACTAGTATGTGTTAAACCATAAGAAAATAGTCTGGCCAGAAGGAGAGGGATTATGATGGTTTCTGAAAGGTATGCAGGAGTTACCTAGTTTTTAAAAAGGGAGGCATGCAGGTCTAGGTAGAGGGAGCATTATCAGGAAAGGCACAGAGGTGTGAAACAGTAAGGTGTATCCGTGTGAATATCATGATTTGACATTATTACTGAAATGTAAAGTAAGGAAAGAGTGATTAAAAAATATTGATGAATGGTTCAATGTGGAAGAAGAGTAGGGATACAGCATTTTATTACATTGCTGGATTTTATACTCTAAGATTTTTGTGTTTATGTTCATGGGAGATATTGTTCTTTATTCTTCTGTTCTCGTACTGTTCTTGTTTAATTTTTTGTTTTAATTAAATTACACTAGACTCATAAAATAATTTATTTGGATAGTTCTTTTTTTCCCCAATTATTTAGAAAAATTTGTAAGATTGGAATGATCGATCGTGGAATTTTGGCAGATTTGCTGAAACACTGTCTAGGCCTGATGCTTTCTATCTGGGAAGATTTTATATTTTTAATTCAACTTCTTTGGTAATTATGTCTACCCAAATTTCTGTTTCTTCTTGATCAATTTTGTCCTTTTTTCTATGTTTCCAAATGTATTGGCATAAAGTTCATTATATCTTATTCCCTTTTTTAAATCTTATTTCCTTTTTAAGTCTCTGTTGTAACTGTGTTCTTTATGCTGTTTCAAATATTGTTTACCTTTGTCTTGTCTCTGTCTTCTTGATCGATCTTGCCAGAGGTTTCTGAATTTTATTTATCTTTTCAAAGAACCAGTTTGGTTTTGTTTATATTCCCGTCGTATGTTGAATTACATTTTCTTAGACTTTACTTCTCCTCCTTGTTTTTCTTCCCTCTGCTTCTTTGTGTTTCTTCTGTTCTCTTTATATCATTTAGGGTTGAATGTTTAGGTTATCTATTTTCAGTCTTATTTTCTACTCCTTGGACACAGTCCCAATTTTACATTTATTTCTGTTGTTGTTATTTGATCAATGCCTTTCTCTCCTTTTAGATTCCTTTAATTTGGGGACTATTTCAACTTTTTGCTCTAGTGTCATACCTAACCCTTAGCACAGTGCCTGAGTCATAATAGTGGCTCAATAAATTTGTGCTGAATGGATGAATGTTTGCTATAATTTGTAAAATGCAGCACACTATACAAGTTAAATTGCTGATCTATTTATCTGGTCTCAAGATAGTAGAGTAGCTTGGAGCATATTAGAATATCAATGCAGCTGTCTAAGTAAAGTGATAGAACCAATGTGTTTGAGAGATATTTTCATCTATAACCTAGGGGAGTACAAATGTCTTCAGGCAAACACTTTCTGAACGGCTAAGTGTTACAAAAACAGAAAAGTCAGTCATTGAATGTGTTTATGAAGTTCACCTGAAGACTAGCGTCTGCTTTCTGCTTCAGTGAATTCTATGTCAAGCAGTCCTTGCTCAGTGGGATAATGATCCAATTTTCAATTTTTACCGCAGTGACTAACAAGAAATTATCCTTCATTTCTGTTAAAACATATAAATATTTGTGGAGTCTGTTAGTCCTAAGTTCAAATTCCGGCTGTGTTCCCTTAAAAAAAAATTTTTTTTTAATGTTTATTTTTGAGAGAGAGAGAGAGAGAGAGAGAGAGAGCACGAGCGAGCAAGGGAGGGCAGAGAGAGGGGAACACAGAATCCAAAGCAAGCTCCAGGCTCTCAGGTGTCAGCACAGAGCCTGATGGGGGCTTGAACCCACTGAGAGATCACAGTCTGAGCCAAAGTCAGATGCTTAGTGGACTGAGCCACCCAGGCACAATTCCCAACCCCCCTCCACCCCCCACCGCCGCCACTCCTCCTCCCTCCCCACCAGCTGTGTTCCTAACTACCTGTGTGACTTCAGGCCAGTGACCATCCCTCCAAGCTTCAGTTCTTTTCTCTGTGTAATGGGGATGCCTGTAGCTCCCTCTCTCACTGTAGTGTGAGGATTAAGTAAGAGAATGAATGGAAAGTGCTTAGCATGGTATCTGGCACACAGCAGGTAAATATCAGTAAATATCAGTTGTTATTGTTGTTGCTATTAGCTGTATGAGCTTTTCATGGGAGGGACCGTGTCTTACGCATCTATACCAGAAGCCCAACATGTGTAACTGCCATGCCTAGCCCAGGCATGACTGTAGACTTGAACTGAGATTCTCGTGCTGCTGATGCTGAATGATAGACAAAGAAAAAGAAGCTATGGGAGAAAGGAATTCAGGCTTTGTAATTATTCGGCCATGTGCTTCAAATTTGGGTTTAAAAAAGGCAATGGCGGGGCGCCTGGGTGGCCCAGTCGGTTAAGCGCCTGACTTCGGTTCAGGTCACGATTTCACCGTTCGTGGGTTCGAGCCCGGCGTTGGGCCCTGTGCTGACCGTTGAGAGCCTGGAGCCTGCTTTAGATTCTGTGTCTCCCTCTCTCTCTAACCCCTCCCTCACTCGTGCTCTGTCCCTCTCTGTCTCTCAAAAACTAAATAAACGTTAAAAAAATTTTTTTTAATGTAATAGTGAAAGAATTTGTTCTAAATATCTCCTACGCTGGATTTAATCATTTGAATTGAGCCATTGGCAACAATATTCCAGGGAAATAAGGATGAACAGGTGCAATAAAAAGTGATCTTTCCTATTGTTACGCTAAAAATGGACACATTCCCTGGGAAAACGTCTCACCTAAAATTGCTTTCATAGGTGCAACTCCTTGCAACCTTTTTATAATTTCTGTAATGGGAAAAACCCGATTTAAATCATGCTACTCTGAATTCATTCAAAAACAGATAATGAATAACATTACTTGGCTTCTGCAATGACACAAGGCATGGAATAATAAACTACGTTACAGTGAGACCCTCTTCGTCCTAGATCTTGTGGAGCTGTTTATCAGAAGGTCAGTAGCAATGCTATTTCTATTGGAGCATTTTCATTTACAAAATTAACGTATTTGAAAAATGACTTTCAATAATGACACAAAGCATAAATATAAAAATCTGTACACGCTATAGCTCGTATAAAACATTTTTTTGGCATCAATTATTGTTGTAATTTAGGCTGAATAATGCCAGCTATTTTGCTGCTGTGCTGAAGTCCTCTTTTTTGAGCCCACAATGAACCTGTAATACTTATGGAAAGAGTTACCATAGCAACCTATATTGATGTCACAAGCTCAGGCTTCTGACTTCATTGCATAATGCGGTAGCAAGTGGATTTGCAGCAGAAACACCCTGCTAAAGAACAAGTATCTTGGTTCCCAGCAAAGAGGACAAAGGAGAACAGCAAGTTATAGGGAGTTGAATGCTGGATTGTGAGTCAGATTGTCTGAGTTCTTATTTTAAACCTGCTTCTCACTTGTTGCCTTGTTTTGAGTAATCGTGTTTACATGTGTGCACTGAGGTTTGAAGCAAGAAATCTCCTATCTCTGGGATAGACATAGAAGAGAAAACTCAGTATTTAATGTTTTAGCATTTGGGGGACATCTTAATAAGGCTAAAACATCCTAAAAATAACTTGGAAAGCAAGGAATTACTGATGTCTTGTAGTAGGTAACTGGCTAGCTCACAAAGATAAAGAGAACACTTGGGAAAAAAAGCATAGAGCTAGGGTTTTTGATTTTGATTTTTTGAAATAGTAATGGGTAAAGGGTATGATTGATGTCCTAATCTTAACTTTAATAAGAATGTGGAGAACTCTTACATGAATATGTCATATTACATAGCTGTATCTATTTAAGGATGTTTTGATATGTCTCAGAGAAGAGAAAGATTAATCTGTATCTGTTAGTGGGTATGATGCTTCTCATGTTTACACTGTGTACATTAAATCATAAATGTTTATTTTATCATGCAAATGTTTATCCTCATTAGAAAACAATTAAATAAGTGAAGTGGCTTTGCTAATTTAAAATAAAATTTAAAAAAATTAATGATATCCTTTTTTAGACAGGCCTACTCTTCCCTTTGGAACCCTATAACCTGTCCATTATGTCAATCGGTCTAGGTTTTTATTATATAGTAAATTTCAGAATTGAGCTTCTTTTGATATTTGAAAAGGCATTTAAACTAATAAACTTCCTCACCAGAAACTAAGGTGAAAACATGGTGCAGCTTTTCGTTTTATCTAAGGTAACAAGCTAGAACATTTTGATAGAACTATGGCCCTTCCCACCCCCTCTTTCCATATGTTTCAAAATCATTCCAAAATATCGGCGAAGATTTAACATGCTAAAAAACTTCATTAGCTAAATTCCCTGTTAAATAACCCTCAGAAAGAAATAAGTAATTTTTCAGGTCTTAGAAAAATTTTAAGTTACTGTTGAAAAATGTAGAGCAAGGTAGAAGCTGGGGCCATGTTTTTGATAAGTTCTTAATTGCATCTGAACTCGTTATTATCTCACTGCACAAGTCATTTGTGGGAGTCATAAAATCTTGCAAAATCTTTCAAAAACTAGAATTTGCTATACAGTGTTTCATGGAATATCTAAGAGTAAAAATTAGTTTTTTCATTATAGGCATTATGTTTATCCAACTAGCTAATGTGTTTTTTTCCTATACTAGGCAAAAGACTTTTCGTGTGTTTGTGTGAATTTAATTCAGCAGATTTTTATTAACTTTATTACCATGAGAAGGTCCTGAATAAACATAGTAAAATTTTGTAAAAAAAAAAAAAATCATACATTCTTCATTTTTTTTCATCTTAAGCAAAGAGAGGAATCAGTAAAAATGGTTGTTTCCTTTCTGAATTCTACTTTGTTCCTTGCTCTAAATTCTACCATTTCGAAGTACAACTCCTTTAAATAACAGAGACTAAACATCGCTGAAAGTCACATCAAGAAATCACACCTATAGAAGGAGCTATAGCTATTTTGTTTTGTTTTGTGATCACACTGAGGTCCAATAGATTTAAATAACTTGCCCAAAGTTAACTGGTGGAAGAATACATACCTCAACTAAGGATCATTCTACCACATCAAAGTGTCCTGATCCTGCCTGATGGCTTTTATCCAGTCATCTCCCTTTTAGATAGTCTGATATATAGTCCTTTTCTTCTTATTTTTTCTTAATTTCTTGGTTTTATTTTTTCCCCTAAAAAATCTCACTAGAGATTATAGAAAAATTTATTAGTCTTTTCAAAGAGCCAACTTTCGGCTTTACTTATTGCTCTCATGTATCTTTTACTGCGTAACAATCTACCCTCAAAACATACTGGTTTAAAACAACCACTATTTCATTATCTCATGATTTTGTGGGTTAAGAATTCAGGTAGGGTCATTCTTTTGCTTCTTGTGGTATTGACTAAGTTTACGGGGTGGTATTTGGTTGGTGGTTGGCGTGGTCTGGAGAGTCTAGGATTGCTTCACTCAGGTGCCTGATGCCTTAGCAAGGAAACCTAGAAGGCTAAGCTTAGATGGGTTTCTCCCTGTAACCACGTAACACAGGGCTTCTCCACATGGCCTTTCCAATGGAGTTTTGAGACTTCTTACATTGCAATTTGGAACTCTAAGAATGTACAGGAAAATGGGAAGTAGAAATGGCAAGTTTTCTTAAAGTCTAGACCTAGAACTGGCAAAATATCACTTCTGCCATACTTTTAGAGCAGTCATAGAACAAAGATTCAAGGGGAAAGGAAATAGATCTCTCCTGTCAAAGGAAAGAGTGTCAAAGAGTTGGAGCTATCTTTATTCTATCGCATTGATCCTGTGTTGTATTTTAGTCTTCTATTTCAACAATCTATTATTTTCTTTGTATCTTCCATCTGTTTTCTTTGTTTATATTCTATCATTCACTCTCCCCCCCTTCTTAGATTGGATGTTTAAATCATTCTTTTTCATCATTTCCTCGTCTAATATAAGCCCTGAAGGGTAATTTTTTTTTTCCAATTACAGCTTTCATTGCATTTCAAAGTTTTAGCTATATTGTTATTTTGCTCATTGTTCAGTTTTTTCCCAGTTTTCCATTATCATTTCTTTTGTGATCTATGAGTTATTTGGAAGTGTGGTTTTAAAATTTCAATCCCATAGGGTCTTAATATTAATAATGTATCTACTTGGGACTTAAAAGACATTCATCAAATACAATGGATTATCCTTTTTTGGATCCTGACTTGAACAAACTTAAGAAAACATATGAGATAATCGAGGGAAATTTGAACACTGACTGGATATTTGGGGAATTTTTATATATTAAAAAATATATATAATGGTATTATAGTGATGTTAAAAGTGTCCTTTTTAAATAGAGTTAGAAATATTTATGGAATGAATTTACTTCAGAAAAATTCAGATGGGAGTGGGCATATAGATGATAAAAGATTGACTATGAGTTAGATAACTGATGAAGACAACTGAAGGGTACAAGCATTCCATATTCGCATGTGTGAACTTTTTCATAAGTTGTCAAAAGTTTACCTTATAATAATTTCTCATTTAGTTGCATTGTGGCTAGAGAATTAGAGTATATTGAGTATATATGAATTATATATTCAAATATACATATACACAAAAATACAATTATATATATTCTTTCTATACAATGTAGCGAATACATTGCACACACACACACACACACACATAGTGAGCTTATTTTATGGACTGATGTATTAAATTTTGTGTACTTGAGAAGTAAATATGGAATATCTTTCTTTCTTTCTCTCTCTGTTTATCTATATATATCCATTAAATCAAGGTTGGCAGTCCAAATATTTTTTTTTAGTTTTTTAAAATAGATTTTTAAAAGATTTTTTTATAGATTCTTTTTCCTCCTAAAACTATGGATAATTGAGAAATAATTGAGAAATTTAGAAATCCATTAAATCATGGTTGGTAGTCCAAAGAATTTTTTAGGTTATTTTAAATAGATTTTAAAAATATTTTTTATAGATTCGTACAGATTTTTCCTGCTTAAACTATGGATAATTGAGAAATGTGTATTTCATCCTCACATTATTATGATGATTTGTCAATTTCTCTCTGTAGTTCTTGAATGTTTTGCAGTATGTAATTTGAGATAGGTTCGTAATACATATCTAAGTGTTAAATCTTACTGGTAATTTGAAATTTAATCTTCACACAGTATCACCTCTTCTTCCTGATAGTTTTTTATTTACCTTAAAGACTATTTTTTTGATATTAATATAACTCTCCCAGCTTTCTTTTGGCTATTATTTTGTGGATATCTCTCTCAATCATGTTTTGCTTTCATATTTTAGGTTATGTCTTTCATAAGAGCATATAATTGAATTTTTGTTTACCTAGCCTTAAAATTTCTGTTTTTAACTGGAAAATTTGGCCTATACACATAAATATTGTGATTCGTGATAATATTTATTTATTTCTATGATCTTAATTTGTACTTTCTGTTTGTCCATTTTTTTCTATGCTTCTTTCCTTCTTTCTTCCTTAGCCTTCGTATCATGTCATTCATACTATCTGGACACACTCCTTTCTTCAATCCTCTGTTGGCTGATTTGAATTGTGCTTGGTATTTCCCTTAATCTGACCTGTCATGCACCATATTTTATAGAAACTGTTAAATTTTCCATCTTTTAAAGGAAAATTTCCAGATATTCTAACATAGATAAATGTTTTAGCTTTAAAATTTTGGGTTACTTCAGAAGTTTTAGGATAGAGTTGCTGAACAGATGGGATATAACAGTATTCTTTAAACTAGAAGTCCTTGGGGCCTGGATGGCTCAGTCAGTTGAACATCTGACTTTGGCTCAGGTCATGATCTCATGGTTCATGATTTCAAGCCCTGCATCGGGCTCTCAGCTGTCAGCACCGAGCTTTCTTTGGATCTATGTTCCCCTCTCTCTCTGCCCCTTCCCACCCTACTCTCTCTCAAAAAATAAGTAAAAACATGACAAAAAATAAACTGGAAGTCCTTAAACTGCATTTGAGGAATAAGGCCTGAGCATGAAATTCTAGTGAATAATAGAATAAAAAATGAAGCTGAACTTAATGTTGATGGATTGACGATGAGGGGAGCCACCTAATGTTACAGTTATCAAAAGAGTAAAAGTTATCAAACTTTTCTCTTAGAAGAGAAGGTGACCTGATGAGAGCTGTTGGAGAAGATGGCAGTGGTGAATAATAGGTACTGAGTTAGGAGGACCTGATCTCCGGGAAGCCAGGTTAGGAGCCCTTTTTTTTTTTTTTTTTTTTTAAACGTTTATTTATTTTTGAAACAGAGAGAGACAGAGCATGAACGGGGGAGGGGCAGAGAGAGAGGGAGACACAGAATCGGAAACAGGCTCCAGGCTCTGAGCCATCAGCCCAGAGCCCGACGCGGGGCTCGAACTCGTGGACCACGAGATCGTGACCTGAGCCGAAGTCGGACGCTTAACCGACTGAGCCACCCAGGCGCCCCAGGAGCCCTTTTTTTAATTAATCGGAGATGATGGCCAAAGGGCTGAATGAAGATGTGAACTAGGGTCTGGGAATGAAAGCTATTCTCTGACTTAAGCATCGGTAGTTATGTAAGAAGAAGTTGACGGAAAGAGAAGGAAGCAACATGGCAGTGATAATTGCTACTGAACTGAGCAATTAGAGCATCATGGCTTCCTGCTACCTTCTCTGTTTATATCATAATCTGCTGCTACTAGCTTCATCCCTTATTTTTTTATTTCAGAGTTCCCTAGAGAGGAATTCAACTTGTTTGGCTTCTTTTCGCACCAGGTCTAGAGTCTTGCTTGCTGGCTTAGTTAGTGGATGAGCAGCCTTTGTGGTGGGTGTGCACTGGTGCGGCATTGTCCCCTGAAAAGTGGGGAGGATTATCTGATACAGACATCACCATATCCCCCGAGCAGGGACTGTGATCTGAGCAGGTCTCTTAGTCTCAGCACCCCAGAAAGCAGAGTCTGACCTAAGAATTTATGTGACTTTCTATCAAGGCAGGCAGGAATGAGTGTAAAAGAAATCTTACGGTAGGGAGAGAGGGAAAGCTGGCCAGAGGGTGTGTTGCTGAACTATTAGCACTGATGTAGCTTGCTTTGTGTTGTAGGGGTGTCCTGTGTAAGGCCACATCAACTGCATCTCAGAGAGATCATCATAGAGACTTGAGAAAGAGGAAGGACTTATCTTATTTGTTGTGGTTGGCCATTGGTTGAAAGTTTGCTCTATTAGGACTTAACTCCCCTGAAGTTCCAGACTGCACAGTTGTGGGCCTTTTAACAAGACTGCTCACACCTCAGTGTCAGTAAGGAAGTTCTGGGTTGGTGAGAAATGCCCGGTTTGGTGCGGTCTTAAAGTAAGGTACTGTCACGTTCTGCCTGAATGAGATCATTCCCAACTCAAGCAGGCCTGGTTACTGAAGCAGTGGTTGAAACAAAATACACATGAAGTAGAGAGATTGTGAATTGGTGTGTAGGAGGTGGTGGATACAGAAGACAATGATGGACGAGCTAGTTAAGGGGGTGAGGATGGGCCAGGGGCAGAGGACACAAAGGCACTTTCATATCCCAAAGTCTTAAACAGAATAATTCAAATAAAGTCCAATAAGTATTTAATGAGCCTCTACTCTTTGCAAGAAACTGAATTTATATCCCCCAAAATGGGGTGCCTGGGTGGCTCAGTCGGTTAAGCATCTGACTTCGGCCCAGGTCACGATCTCACGGTTCCTGAGATCAAGCCCCGCGTCAGGCTCTGTGCCGCGACAGCTCAGAGCCTGGAGCCTGCTTCAGATTCTATGTCTCCCCCTCTCTCTGCCCCTCCCCAGCTCATGCTCACACTCTGTCTCTGTCAAAAGTAAATAAACTTAAAGATAACTTTTATATCCCTGAAAGTAAGCAAGAAGCTTTACCATCAAGTGGAGGAAATAGACGTATATACATGTGAAATACAAGACACCATGTGTTAATATCATCCTTTATGATAAGCATGCACAAGAGGAGCACAGTGGAGGCAGTGGTGAATTTTGCTTGCAGGAGTAACAGAGTCTTGGTAGAAAGTTCCATGTGGCTTTAACGATTAAAGTTAAAATCTTGATAAACATGTGAGGGCTATCTCCTTATAAAATATTTACAACAAATCTTTAGAGCAACTGTATCTCTGCATCTGTATTTTATTAAAATGACACCCTTACATTTTAGATATTTCACACTGAAAAGAGAAATGAGAAATTGAAACTTTGAAAACAATTTATTTTTCCTTTATCCGGAAGTGAGTAGTACTTTTTTCCATGTTTCCGCACGACGCCTGTGGGCTTATTTTAAAAATGATTTGCCAGAATCTTCACATAGTTTCTTGAAATGGAATTAATATTAAAAATTGCCTTCTGTGTTCCTTGTCTTTCTCCCTCCATGTAGAGAATGAAGGAGTGACCAGGTGAAGAGCTGAAGGAATGGGGGCTGCAGGAAAACAAAATACACATCTTGCGATGGGTTAGAAAGATCAGGTATTTTGAGTTTTCTGGAGCAAAATCTGATGCTGCTGCCAGGGAACACTTTCCTGGTCTGAATTTGTTTTCCCAAAGAAATGGAGCAAGGTGGAAGAGATGTTGTACATGGGGCAGACAGAACCCAGGCAGTGAAAGAGAGCTAGACACAGGAATGGAGAGCTAGGAGTCTGGGGCTAGCCTAACTGTAACAGTGACTAGATTGTTCATCCTGACCAACCTTTGTCTTTTTTTTTTTTTTTTAAATTCTGATTCCAGTGTAGTTAACATACAGTGTTCTATTTATTTTAGGTGTACAATATGGTGATTTAAGTCTATTCCTTACTCAGTGCTCATCATGGTTAAGCGTACTCTTGATCCCCTTCACCTATTTTATCCATCCTCCACCCACCTCCCCTCTGGTCTCCATCAGTTTGTTCCCTGTATTTAAGAATCTGGGTATTTTTGTCTTTTTTTCATTTGTCTATTGGTTTGAGTGAAATCATATGGTATTTATCTTTCCCTGACATATTCTGCTTACTATTTTACTCTCTATATCCATCCATGTTGTTGCAAAAGGCAACATTTAATTCTTTTTTATACCTGAGTAATATTCCATTATATATATATATATATATATATATATATATATATATATATATATATATCTTTATCCCTTCGTGTATATCTAACCCTTCATATATTGATGGACACTTGGGGTGCTTCTATTGTTAATGGAATTGGCTATTGTTAATAATGGCTATTGTTAATAATGCTGTGATAAATGTAGGGGTATCAAATTAGGGTATCAAATTAGTATTTTCATATTCTTTGGGTAAATACCAAAGTAGTGGAATTACTGGGTCATATGATAATTCTAGTTTTAATGTTTTGAGTAACCACTCTAATTTTTCTGCAGTGGCTGCACCAATTTGCATTCTCATCAACAGTGTACGAGGGTTTCTTTTTCTTCACATCCTCACCAACACTTGTTGTATCTTATGTTTTTGATTTTAACCATTCTGACAGGTTGAGGTGGTATTGTGGTTTGATTTACATTTCTCTGATGATTAATGATGTTGAGAATCTTTCCATATGTCTGTCGGCCATCTGGATGACTTCTTTGGAGAAATGTTTGTACATGTCTTCTATCCATTTCTCAATGGGATTTTGTTTTGTTTTGTTTTTTCTTGGTGTTGAGTTGTATAAGTTCTTTATATAGTTGGGGTACTAAATCCTTATTGGATGTATCATTTGAAAATATCTTCTCCCATTCAGTAGGTTGTCTTTTAATTTCCTTTGCTGTTCCTTTTAATTTCCTTCACTTTGATGTAGTCCCAATAATTAATTTTTGCTTTTATTTCCTTGTCTTAGGAGGCTTACCTAGAAAAATGTTGCTACAGCTGATGTCAGAAAAATTACTGCCCCTTCTCTATTCTAGGATTTTTATGGTTTCAGGTCTCGCATTGAGGTCTTGAATCCATTTTGAGTTAATTTTCTGTATGGTGTAATAAAGTGGTACAGTTTCATTTTTTTTTTTTTTACGTGTAGTTGTCCAGTTTTCCCAACACTGTTTGTTGAAGAGACTTTTTCTCATTACGTATTTTCTTACCTCCTTTGTCAAAGATTAATTGACCATATACTCACGGGTTTATTTCTCGACTCTCCATTCTGTTCTATTGATCTATGTGTCTGTTTTTGTTCCAGTATCATGTTGTTTTAATTACTACAGCTTTGGAGTGTATCTTGAAATCTGGGATTGTGATACCTCCAGTTTTATTCTTCTTTTTCAAGATTGCTTTGGCTATTTGGGATTTTTTTTGTAGTTCCATACAAATTTTAGGATTATTTGTTCTAGTTCTGTGAAAAATGCTTTTGGTATTTTGATAGGAATTTCATTACATGTGTAGATTTCTTTGGATAGTATGGATATTTTAACAATATTTGTTCTTCCAATCCATGAGCATGAACTATCTTTCCATTTGTGTCATTTTCAATTTCTTTCAGCAATCTTTTACAGTTTTTGAAGTACAAGTCTTTCACCTCCTTGGTTAAGTTTATTCCTAGATATTTTAATATTTTTGGTGCAGTTATAAATGGGATTGTTTTCTTAATTTCCCTTTCTGCTATTTCATTATTAGTGTATAAAAATGTAATGAATTTCTTTATATTGATTTTGTATCCTGCAACCTTACTGAATTCATTTATCAGTTCTAGCCATTTTTTTTCGTGGAGTCTAGGGTTTTCTCTATATAGTGTGATGTCATCTGCAAATAGCAAAAGTTTTACTTCTTCCTTATCAATTTGGATGCCTTTTATTTGTGTGTGTGTGTGTGTGTGTGTGTGTGTGTGTGTGTGTGCTGTCGCTAAGATTTCCAGTACTATGTTGAATACAACTGGAGAGAGTGGACATCCTTGTCCTCTTTCTGACCTTAGGAGAAAAGTTCTCAGGATTTTTTGCCAATGGCCATGATGTTAGTTGTGGTTTCTTTATATATGGCCCTTATTACATTGATGTATGTTCCCTTTAAACCCACACTGAGGGTTTTTTATCATGAATGGATGTTGTACTTTGTCAAATTATTTTTTCTGCATCTATTTAATCTATGTTCATCAGAGATATTGGCCTGTTTTAGTTCTCTTTTTCAGTGGTATCTTTATCTAGTTTTGGTATCAGGGTAATGCTGGCCTCATAGAATGAGTTTGGAAGCTTTCCTTCCTCTTTTAATTTTTTTGCAATAGTTTGAGAAGAATGAGGAATAGCTCTTCTTTAAATGTTTGGTAGAATTCACCTGTGAAGTCATCTGGTCCTAGACTTTTGTTTATTGGGAGTTTTTTGATTACTGATTCAGTTTCATTGCTGGTTATCTGTCCATTCAAATTTTTCTATTTCTTCCTGGTTCAGTTTTGGGAAATTATATGTTTCTAGGAATTTTTCTATTTCTTCTAGGTTGCACAATTTGTTGGCATATAATTTTTCATAATATGTTCTTAAAATCCTTTGTATTTCTGTAGTATCAGTAGTTACTTCTCTTTCATTTCTGATTTTGTTGGAGTCCTCTCTCTCTCTCTCTCTCTCTTTTGGTGAGTCTGACTAAAAGTTTATCAATTTTGTTGATCTTTTCAAAGAACAGCTCCTGGTTTCATTGTCCTATTGTGTTTTTTTTTGTTGTTGTTGTCGGTTTCTATTTCATTTATTTCTGCTGTAACCTTTATTATTTCCTTCCTTCTACTGATTTGGGGTTTTGTTTATTCTTTTTCTACGTCCTTTAAATATAAGTTTAGGTTGTTTATTTGAGGGGTTTTTTTTTTGTTTGTTTTTTTTTGCTTCTTGACATAGGTGTGTATTGCCATAAACTTCCCTCTTAAAACCCATTTTGCTGTATCCCAAAGATTTTGTACCATTGTGTTACCATTTTCATTTGTATCCATGTATTTTTTGATTTCCTCTTTGATTTCTTGGTTGCCCTAGTCATCTTTTAGTAGCATTTTATCCTCCATGTATTTGTGTTCTGTCCAGCTTTTTACTCGGGGTGACCAAGCTTTGTCTTAATTCCTAAAGTGTGGAGATGTCTCTCTCTCTCTCTTTTTTTTCCTATAGGGGAGAATTATTAGCCTTCATTTGTGGCCTGGCTAGTAGGGTTTACCATTGACTACAACATCATTTCAGTATCACAAAAATAAAGTGTGTAATATCGTGCTCACATTTGATTAAAGCATATTTAACATATGTAAATGTCATATTGCTTTGCAAAATAAAGACATACTAAAATAAATATATAAATAGTGTAGGCTACTCCACCAGTTATCCCACTCAATTTGTGCATAGAGATGGGAATCTGCCTTTTCACCTGTTGGCCTCAGTTCCACTTACCTCCTATGGATTATGAGAATTGTGCTAATTGGAATATGAATCTACTGTCAGAATCTATGTCTATAGAGATGTTTTTGAGATGACATGGCTCTCAAACTCAAGCCAGCTTGTTCACCTGGGCTACGCTGAAGAATCAGCAATCTGTCCCAATAATGAATGGAAAATGACCTATACCCGACTTCCTGAGGGACTATTCCAATACCAGACCTTACTAACAGATTTTCATGGGTAAATTTGATCAAGTGATATTTTCACTTTTAATTCTTCACTTTAGAACCAAGATGTAACTTGTGTAGAGTATGGAGTTTTCAGATATGAGAAAAGACTAAATGTTGGAACAGCTTAAGAAGAAAGGGTTTGTGGCAATATTGAGCCAATGTTCTCATAAATTGCCTTAGCCTTACTTTTTCAGCAGTAGGAAAGTTGAGCAGATCTACTAAGAGGGGAAGGCACCATGGTTGTCTGAGGATCAGAAACTTTTAAGTGGAGGCATTCTCTGCTTTCCCTTCTAGTTAGCTTCTCATTTCTGGAGCTTAGATCTTGCTCAGACTTCATTTTTTTGGTCCAGGTGCTTTAGAGCGCCAGCCATGTTCTAGGCATTGGACTAAATGCTTTGTATAGTTTTATCTCGTTAAAAATTTGTAACATATCAAGAATTATTATTATTCCCCATTTACAAATAATGATGCTATGAAGTCTAGGTTATTTATTCAGCTAGTAGGTGAAGGAGGTAGGGTGGGATATGGATAAGTCTAACTGTAAAGCCTACATCCTCTTTTCAGTATACAATATCCTCTCCTTTAAGCTTCAAATACTCTAGCTTTATTAGGGCATTCGTAGGGGTGACTTGGGTGCCCTTTGGAGGACTTTGTGAGTTCATTTCTTTTCACCCCTATGTAAGAAGTCTTTCCTGAGTTTCTGTGAATTATAAGGGTAAACCATTTCGTGTAGCATGGCCCAAAGACATTACATGGTTGTACCAGAAAGGAGGCTGTGTCCTGCCATAGTGGCTCAGCTACACTTTCTTTGATACCTGTTTGGACTTCATCAAAATCTTTTGTCTTGTGGTTTTGGTAGCGTTTGGGTAAAGCTTATATATGAAAGTGAATGGTTTAGTTTTCCTGATAGAAAGTTTAATTTAGCTCTCCAGCATGTTGCTTTTAGCTTGTTTGTAGATATAATCGTTTACTTAATGAGGATGCATCCTCCCTTTCAGAGTACAGACTTTAAAATGAATTTCCATAGATTTACATAAATTCCCTGGGGACCACTATCATGTGAGCAAAGAAAGAATTGCCCAGCTGTGTTCTGATTTAATGGAATTATGAAGCTTTAGGGTGTGGGCTCTGAAAAAGATATCTAGGGGAAATAGTCACTCAAATTGTTGGAGAAATAAACCGTTAAATGAATTTGCTCTCACTCAGATTGGAGATGATTTTAGAAGCCAGCATCAGCCAAAGTTTTAAAAAACTCATTTTAGGAAAAGT